TCCGATTTCTTCATAGTCCACCGAAGTAGGCGCTAGTATACTCTCCACACGAGACAATGCATCGGCGACGTAATTTTCACTTCCACTGACATGTTGTATATCCGTAGTAAATTCCGAGATGAAACGTAGGTATCGTTCTTCATGCGGTAGCCGAGAGCTGGAATCGGTTGTTAGCGCGTATGTTAGTGGGCGATGGTCAGTGAAGATCGTGAAGTTGCGTCCTTCAAGGAAGCAATATTTGAGGCATCGATCATCAGAGCTAATGGTTTCGACGAGTCAGGATAGTGAAGCAGTGCTGTCTCCGCTAATGATTTTTTACAACGCTCGAAGCTTGATGAAGCTGCATCTGTCCACTGTAGTTTACGTATGTCGTTTTTCCTGTTCCCGGGAATAAGCTTCTGCAACTCAGCTTGGATGTCGGATGCATGACGAACGAAGCGTTTGTAGCCGTTGGCGAGTGCCAGAAAGCGACGGAGTTCCTTGACTGTTGTCGGTTTCTCGTAGTCCATAATGGCTTGGACGCGTGACGGGAGCGGCCGCACTCCATCACTGCTGATCAGGTATCCTAAAAATTCCACTTCCTTTTGGGCAAACACGCTCTTACCCAAATTTAGAACGAGTCCGTGCTGGCATAGGCGGTCAAACACTATGCGTAGATGCTCCTGGTGTTGAGCAAGGGATTCAGAAGCGATGCATATGTCATCTATAAAGACAACAACGAAATCAAGATCACCAAAGATTCGGTTCATGTAGCGCTGGAACGTCTGACTTGCGTTACATAACCCAAATTGCATGCGGGTGAACTCAAACAAGTCATACGATGTTATGACCGTTGTTTTGGGAATGTCTGCTTCCTCCACCGCAACCTGATGATACGCTCGCTCCAGATCAAGAGTTGTGAAAACGGACTTACCATGAAGCGAATGCAGCAAATCGTGGATGTGCGGTACCGGATAACGGTCAGGTGTAGTGATATGATTTAAGCGACGGTAGTCACCAACGAAACGCCATTTCCCGTTCTTTTTCAGCACACAATGCAAAGGACTTGCCCAACTGCTACTCGATGGTCTGCATATTCCTAGGTTGCATTCGTCGAACTTTAGACGCCACGGGTGGTCCACGAGTAACTATGTGATGGGTTACGTCACACTGCGTGACAGAACGAAGCGTCGATGGCAGAGTTATTTCCCGGTACTCCATTAACAAATCGTGGAACGGATGATCGGCACCAACAAGTGTTACACTGTGCAGAGCAGCAGTCATCATACCTCCAGAAGACTTCAATCCTGTCTGGCCAATCTATAAGTTTTTGGTTTTTCAAATCGACGAGTATGCCGAAGTGCGCCAAAAAATCAGCACCGATTATTGGCATCGTCACTTCAGCAACGAGGAAATTCCAGGTGAATCTTCGTCTCAATCCTAGGTCAACAGGAATAAATTTCGTTCCAAATGTCCGAATTCTACTTCCGTTGGCTGCGTGGAGTTGTTGTATAACGGTACCGTTCAATCGATCTCTCCTGGAGGCAGGCAATATTGTGACGTCCGATCCAGTGTCGATTAGAAAGCGTGTTTTGTTCGTCCTGTCAAAAATTACCATTCGGCGACTTTCCGACACTCCGGCCACCACCGCCGATGATGGTGGGGAGGATGCTAGTTTTTTGAGCTCCATGAACACGGTTCTCGGCACCGCTGAGCATCGTTTCCATATTTCCTATGGTACCAGCACAGTCCGGATCGTGATGACGAACGAGAACCACTTCGGTTTCGCGAAAACGAACGGCCTCGCTCAGGGTTGGGAGCCTTCAGGCGTCGGATTTCCGCTGTGAGAAGTTCGATCTGCTCTGCTAGCTTCCTTTCACCACTGTTGCTGTACGTTGGTTCGTTGTGCACCATGGCAACTGCGGAGGACTGACCGTTGGAGGCGTCGGTGATCTTGTCTGCCATTTCAGCCAACTTCTCGATGGTACCATCGTGGCATGTGAGAATTGGTCGAATGTTTTCCGGGAGGCGTTGAATGAAAATCATTTTGAGCAGATTGTTATCCACGCCCAAACCCGTCGACAACTCTCTCATCTTTGCTAACAGATGCGTTGGGCGCATATCGCCAAGATCGTGGGCCCCCAGCAGCTGTTCGAAGCGGCTTTCAGCAGACAGGGCGAAGCGAGCAATTAGGCGATCTTTCACTGTTTTGTATTTATTTTCCGCTGGAGGAGCAGCTACCAAATCGGCTATGTGACATATAACCGATTGATCCACTTTGGCCACGATGTGGTAAAACTTGGTTTCATCATTGACGATTTTCGCAAGGTGGAATTGCGCTTCCGATTGCGCAAACCACATAGCCGGATCAGTTTTCCAAAAATCCGGTAGTTTTACCGCGACAGATGCTGCTGCGTTGCTCCTGTTATCGTCCGGCATTTTGAGGTTAGTTTCGGCTTTGAGATCGAATATCGGCGAATAACCGTGAAATCGGACCGAAACTTTTAGATTCGCGACGTCGCGGGTCACCAATGTAGTGATCGGACACGGAATAAAGAACGATTAGTTACGAAATACTTAAAATCTTTATTTTTACTTTCAATAGAAAAACAACCACGTTCGCGCGTTGATAGCTGCGTAGCAAAGATTGACAGCTTGAGTTCTTTTTCTTCGACGATGACCCGATGGAAGCCAGGCTGACCAGTGTTGCCGGGCGATGCCACAAATCATTTGGATCTCATTTTTGTTATGATTACTGTTATCTCGACCACACGGTTGGCAAAATATGTTATTATGATCGTTTAAATCAAAACATCAAATTTGGTTTTCATTCTCTGTTCGGGCACCCACCGGCAGATTTTCGCGTAGTCGTCAGAATTTCAATCTTCTAGAATCACATATCAGTCCCATAGGGATTTTTATCAATTTTGAAATACCAACGCTATGCACTACCAATTGGCATCTACTTTCATATTATGTGATAAAACTAAAGACTTTGATCGTGAAAAATGTAAAAACAACATCAAGCCAGTTTGTCCCATCAAGCAAAGTAATCGCATATCAGATCCATTCTGAAATTCCATCGTCCATCCTCAAGTTTTTCTTTTTGAATTACCATATTTTTCGCTGATGTAACAAAACATGTAAACCTCATTGCAACGAGAAATTATCAATATATTTGCTATGATTTCTCAAATATTGAGATGGGAATTACACTTCGTAACTTCGACTGTCATTTTCTCAATGCCTACTTTTTCCATATGGGACTGATATGTGTGATTCTAGGCAGTGCACTGTCGTGTGCGGCATAACAGCCTCTGTAGCATTTTTGGCGAAAACGAGTAATGTATTGGAATCGATTGTCAAGTATCTTCACCTTATTCACCTTGTCGCAAAAAATACCAAAACTATGATGTCCCATCCATAAGAGCCCATAGAGAAAAAAAATCTTCAACAGCCGTTTTTCTCAGCTTGCTGTTTAAACGTATGGGACAGCTATGCTGAAAACGTCAGTGCAGTAGTCATACGAAATTTGCTGTTAACTTGAACATGCGTCTTTTTATTCATACGACCCAGTGTACAACGCGTAATCATTAGGTTACTCCACCCCACTCAATCGATTCCAAATCAGGTCCGGATCATTCTCCCAAAATTTGATATCATTTGGTTGCGAACTCGTACCGCACTGGTCTTTAAATAACAAAGTTTATATGGAGGAATAACTATGGGAAAAGTTAACTCACCGTCCAAGCCCTTCGCCATAATGATATACGTAAAAGTGTCTGCATTGATGTGAAATTTTCCCAGCTACAATTTTGCTGAAAACTCATTTTTGTTTGAACGTAAGGATAATTAGTTCGCATTCGCATCCAAGTCTGCTAAATTTTTGGGGGAATGGTCTGATTTAGAATCAATTGAGTCTATTTTGATCCATGTCTTGTGTGAAACGTTTGTGAGCATCCAGGTGACTTGTTTTTAAATTAATTTCCTCTTATCTATTCAGATAAAGATTGGTTTTCTTTGTTAGATCGTTGGAAAACTAACCTTCTATTGTTAAAATATGATAAACCCGTTTCCATTATCCGAACACTACCGAAAAAAGAAATCCTAAAACACATAGACCTATTATTACTAAACCCCATTAATGCAAACAACGCACGTGATACTGAACCAAAGCAAGTAGATCCTAGCCTTTCTATATGTTGCATCGAATATTGTTAAATGCAAAGAGAAGCAAAACAACGCATCAGCACATGTTTAAAAAAAAGCCAAACTTACAACATACACAGCTGTGCACCCCAATAGGCTTTAGCAAAATACGCAAAATTAGTGGACACTAGGCACTACAATAACAATAGAATAGATCAAACCATTATTCATTACCGTATGAAATATACTTTTCTAGAGGCAAGTAAAAAAAAAATCAGTATTGTTAAAGAGCGCCTTAAACGCTGCAATTTAGTGAAGCCAAAAGATGCAATCAGTGTCGTGGTCGGAGATCAACAGAAAAAGAGATCATAGCGAGTAACTAATGAACTATATAGTGATATTAGAGAAAAGCCAAGCAATCTAGCAACTTATCAAATTAAACAGTCGTATCAATATTTTGTCCAAACGAGTGTGTATGTGTGTGTGTGGTAAGCACTAAGAAAGGATATCTTGTACAATATTACTCAAGTCCCCCTCCCCCCGGCCACCAATTGACTCGTTAAGTGTTTAGTTGCTCGAACAATTCCGATCTATTCCCTCTTCTTTGCGCTAATGCTGTCCATTAGGTTACGCCTCTTTTTGCTTTGTATATAATCCTAAGCCCCGCCCCCCCAGTGCGTCACTGTATTTAATTAGCTAAGAGAATTTGAATGACCTGCTTCTTATCTTTAAAAAAAAAATCTTCACACTGATCGCTTTCATCCTCTTTGTTTACTGTTTTTCTTTTCTCTCTTCCATAATCCGTGTGTCGTGCGAAATTTGCTTCGTGCTTCCCGTGGTGACTTCCGGTTTCTTTTGGCGCCTCATTGCAGGAGCTTTATTTCTACTAGAAGAAAATGGTGATACAGAAGATAGTGAGATACTGCTGGTGGTGTTGGATGGTGATGCTGACGATAAGGAAGAGGATGACGGTGGTGGTGCTGCTGCTGCTGACGACCGGGGGATGGAACGATCGGAAGGGACACTTCAGCACGATCCGTCCAGTAGCAGCAGTTGCGTTGGTGGCGCCGCCAGTCCATACAATTCGCCGAGCAAAAGTAACCGTCAGAAGCGGCAGCAGCAACAACAGCGACGAAAGCGTGCTTGGGAAACGAACCACCCGGTCGTCGTCGTGATGTCGGCATCTTCCGTTGCTCCGATTGCGGACCCTGGCAGTAAGGGTGAGTTGGAGGCTAGTGAATGTGACTATACCAATGATAGCTTCGAGGAAGACGATGACAATGGCGAGTGAAGACGTGGGAATGAGACGAATCCCGGATGAGTTGACTTCTTTTCCATTCCTTTTCAAACTGTTGCGACTCTTGTGCGGCGGGGGGGTTTGTAAAGCAAAACACACAAAACAATATGATACTCATTTAGTTCGATACTCTCATCAAAAGAAAAGAATACCGAGAAATTATGACAAAAGATAATGATTAGTTTTTTTTTAGCCGTAGACAGATGGAGCTATTAATAGTTTAGAATCACTGATAGGATAGTCCAAAGCAGACTCTATATAGTTAAATCTCTAGGGAGAAGAACGGAGTCAACAGAGTCGTACACAACTTAGTAGTATTAATTAGTAGGAGAAAACAAGCAGAATTAACAAAAAGAAAGAAGCACACACGAACAAATTTAGCATCTATCAGATTGATTATATCATTGTTGAACAGATTATTGATTTTAAAATATAAAGCAACAAAAAATACTCGGAACGTTTCGTACTGAAAGAAAGCAGTCATTTGGAAATCAAATTTCAGCTCGATTAAAATTTAACTTCGGTAAGGATCGATTTCTTTTTTTCTATAAGGAAAGAACCACCCTGATTGAACATTTTTTTTGTCTCAATATTCTTTTGTTTATTTCACATCTATTGCATACATGGTTGCTTTTTTTTATACAATTCACACATTTATATAATGTCTTCTAATCTTGAGTTCCTTTAATTTGTATATTTGTTTCTCTAGGTTCAATCAACAATATATTTCGAACAATATGCGCTACTGATTTGTCCAGTTAGGTTCGTTTGTATTTTTTTCTTCTCTTCTGTCTTGTTGGAATAATGACCTAACTCAAAAGGAAAATGTTGAAGGAATATGGTATTCAATTTCTGTCAATGCTCGATTTCTGCGCGCGCGTGGAAGGTTTCTAAACAAGCACATTTATTTTTCATTTATTGTTTTCTTATTCTTCTTACATGGTAGCAACTTGTTTTCTCTTCTTATTTGACCTAATGTGTGTATTATTTTTTTTTTATGCGAAAACAGTGACCTTTCTATGTTGAGCATTTTATGTTCTCTATTGTTTGTATTCTTCAAGTAGATCATTTTGAACCATTTCCTTCAAAACTCTCGACAGCAGTGGTGTAATTGACGGGAAATCATAACGATTAGTAGCTTCCGATTTGTTGCAGTGTTTTCCAACCCGGATGACATGAAATGCGGTAATGGTTGGTTGGAGGCTTAATCAAGCTACCGAGGAAGCTTCCCTGAAGATAGATCTGGACAAGTTGGAATAACAATCAGGTAGGTGAACTCACATAGATATTTTTGCCGAGATGGGCACCCCCGAGCAGCTCGGCATTTTATTTTGCTGGATCTCAGTGAAAAACTTGCCGAGATTTAGCAAAATTTTTGTTTGTTAGATGAAAGCTTGGCGAAATTTCCGTTTGTTAGCTGATTCTCGCTATGTTTTTCACTGAGATGCTCGGTGGTGCTCATCTCGGCAAAAATTCTAAGTGTGAAAGTTTATGATAGGTGTTTCGTCGACGTTGTAGTGACGTGACGAAAAACGTCAAAACGGAATAGTATTTGGTTGACTAAACAATAGAGCTTAATTACACTCCGCAATTTCACAAGTCAAATAGCGAATTCGTTTATTATCGGGGTTTACACCAGTTCAAACCCAGCGCGAAACCGAACTTTTTTGTCAGAGGAACCCCAACCTGAGCTAGGTTTTAAAAACAAACGAGCAAACTGAATATCTTCATACCCGATCCAGAATGGAACTGAATAATAAACGAATTCGCTAAAAGTGTTAAAGAAGTGGAAAGAGAACTATATTAGAACCTTTTAACTTATGGTTTGAGAACTTTAATGGTAATGGTTATGGTAGTCAGTAAGGTCCACGAATGGTTTTGTAACATCGATCAACTTTATGTGGAATATATCGCGAATTGGTTCCCTAATAAAAATTGTATGGTTAATTTGCTTAACGACGTGTTCTGAGTATCACCCAAACCATTTGTGGAATAGTTCAATGATTTGGGTTATCGTTCGTTTATGGTTATTTTTTATTAGGGTTGCCTGTAATTTACTGATTGCCAATTCACGATATATTCCACGTAAAGTTGAGCGATAATACAAAACCATTAATGGACCTTACTGACTACCATAACCATTACCATTAATGTTCTCAAATCATAAGTAAAAACGTACTTATATAGTTCTCTTTCTGAAAATGTATGGAGAAAACAAGTATTTGGAATGGTAATGGTTCTTAACAACCCATTATTTGTAAGGTCCAGTTCCAAAAAACCATAATACATAAGGTTGAAACTTTATCATTAAACGTTCATGTAAAGTTCCATAACCATTTCAGTTAAAGTTTAGCAGGGATTATAAACAATTTTTAACCATTTTAGGTAAGGTCAATTTATGGTTCGCGTTTATGCGGGGACCCATTCAACCATTCAAATATTCCATAACTCAGTTACTAAGTAAGATCTTGGGCTTTGCAAAAATAAGAGCTGAGAAAAGTGATGCAAATTTATCTTTTTAACTGGTCATTCCTAATATTATTAACAGTTGACCCTTAATTGTGGGGTGACTGTAAAACGTACAAAATGGATCAAACCATCCTAAAGATCAATGGTTCATTTTCGAATATGAGGAAATGGATATAATGTCGGCCTAAATGCCCCTAATTTAGGGCTATCGACTAAATTTTCAATAGCGACCAAAAATATCCATTAGTTCCGTCCCAATGACGCGTTCGTCTAGATAAAATTGATAAATAGCAGATTTTTAGCGATGGGCCCAATCTTAGATCCATAGACCAACATTAGAGGCATTTCCCCTATCAAGCGAGCCATTTAGTTGAATTATAGTTTACAGTATCCCCACAATTATGGAACACCTACAATTAACAGCAAATCGATATTTTCCACAATTGTGGGGAACTGTAAAGCTTTATAAAATGTTTCCTGTAGTTTCGATATTGAAGATATTTTTTCACACAAATAATTTCGAAAATTAGCGTTAAATTTGGCCACGTTTAAAAAAGTAAGAGGTTGTATCCTAGACGCGACCGTAGATTTGTCGTAGGATCACGTGCTTGGTATCAATATTCGGCGACTGTGTTAGGGAAACCACTTTTGTTTGCAGGCAATCGGTGATAATTTTGATCACCATTGCAACAGTTGGACATTTGTGTAATTTTCAATATTGGTGTCTATTGGAAATTTTACAAATGTCCATTTTAGCAATGTTCAAATGTTCATTTTAGCAGATTTGTAGAAAAATGTCCAATCGATTGGCTTGTTTAGAATTAAAATCCATCCGCTATTGACAGAGTTATAAGTGGTCAAAACCTGACCATGTTTCGTTATGCGGTCGATTTTGGTTATTTTTTTAAATTACACAACCAATATGTTGCCGAAAGACGTAATCTTACGTCAAAAAATATCATTGATTATTTTGGTTTTATACTGAATATGATTTACCGGTTTTACAATGTTCAAAGCCACTACGTAGGTCAACAGATTTCCAGAAACCAATCGGTGGTCCCTTGAATATCAAGTTGTAGATAGTTAGCTGTTTGTATATTAATGAGTTTACCTAGAAAGCCCGCTTATATTTGCGTGTAATTGCATTTTTCATGAACTTAAAAAAAATCCAGCATGGATTTCCATATTTTGTTTTATTTTTACTTCCAATTACTTGAAACATTTTGTTGTATACTTTTAGCCAGTGATGCAAAATATCATGGCACTCACGTGACACTCGTCTTCGCACCAACCGACTATCGCTGACAGATCGTTTTGTCACGCAGTGAGAGTTAGAGCCATGGCAAACAATAATCGCCAGTAATGGTCGCTGCTCACAAGCAAAACGCTACACTCGCTGCTGATCAGTGTTGGAAAAGTTTGCGATATTTCACGAAGTTCACCAAGGGAAAAGTTTGCGAGTCATAGGGAACTTTGATGAACTTTTGCATCACTGCTGCTGATGATGAAAAGCACAACGAGAACAGTGAAGACTTCTGCAGTACGATCATGAGAAAAAGCGAAACGACAGAAGAAAATAAAAACAATGCCCACGCATTCCAAGTTCGTCTCGGCAGGCGCGACTGTGTGAGTTACAAACAAAGCAGGCAACATGAAACGGAAGCTGTTGGGTTCACTCACCAACACACTCAAATAAGCAAGTAAAGCAGCAACTGCTTCAAAACGAGCACAGATGAGTGTCGTGATTGTCGGGAATAACCAGATCGGTGACGGATCACAACAGAAGACGACATTCACCAGTTGCTTTTTACTTCTTTCGTCAACTTGATGGATGGTCATGGAGAGAGCTTCGACGAGCATATTGATAGGAATGTACAAAGCGTTACTACCATCAGCTGTTTGGCGATCGTGATTGTGATAGGTCGCAACTCTGCTTTTAGCAAACATGTGAACGATTGCCCATAACAAACAATTATGCGAAGTTTCATGAAAATCGGAAAAGGTCTAGTTTTTCCGATTGGTCATTTGGCGTGGAACTGCTCCATTCGGCCACTAACAATATTGCCTTTCGGCCTGTTTCTAATCCCTCCGAAAGTTGTTTTAGATTAAAAGTTGTGAAAAATCAAACCGTCAATCCACTAATACATACTTTGTCTAACCAAATTAAACTCAATGAAACTTCCTCGGTTCTGGACCTAGAGGCCCAAAGCATGAGACAATATCAGTTTTTAGAGAGTACAACCTTAAGCTAAACAATGGTAAAAGTGTGTAAACTGCACAATTTGGTGGGTGTACTTCTCCCCGCCCAACCTGACTTATTTATTTCTCTGAATTTCTAAACAGTCGAAATCCAAACAAGCAATGTCTACATAACCTCGCAGGTCAACCGAACGGTCAAGACATTTAGATTCTGCTTAAAACTCCCGCTGCTACTAACTGCTAACTTATAGATTTCTAACTTTTATGTTTTATTTAACCTTTTGCAAAAATACATACTACCGTTTGCTTTCTCCTGTTTCCCTAAACGAGTTTGAAAATGATATTGTCGAATTCGGTTTGGTAGCATTTGTTTTTTTTTTTTTGTTTTTTTATTTATTTATTTATTGCCTCGCTGGCTGGAATGTTTTCGATACTTCTCTTGTATGAATCAAATTCGTTTGTCTCTCTTTTTCGTTTCTTCACCGCCAATAAATCATTGTGTTGATGCTGACTACAGTACATTTATTGCTATAACTTTCAAATCTGACTTTCTTTTTCTCGTATTTGCAAATTAACGATCAACAAACTAGTTTTTTCTTTTAGAAAAACTGGAACTATTGTTTTTTTTCAGTTTGGTCATTCTAAAACATTGAGTTTCAAATTTGGTTTACTAACTCGGATACTTTCTCTGTGTGTGTGTGTGTGTGGGAGTAAATAGACGCTCTATGTTGCATTTTCCAAGCCCATTGGCACTCACTCGCTGCTAATTTTCTATTGTTGATACCCGATCCCGCTGATCACGAATTAAGCACTTCTAATCGTACATCTGAAAGCTCCTTAAAGAAATAAGAAGCTTTTTTCCCCTTTCCAATAGTAATGTTGTATGAGTGTGTAAGGAATGTTTTCTTTTCAATGTGAGTAGCTCTTTCACTAAGAGGTTAAAATATGCACAGATATACAAGTTGTAACGGTTGTCTTGGGTCGGTCCGCTTTGGACCTATGCTTTTATGTGAGTTTGATAACTGCAATGCAATTGTATGATAGGAGATAGCTGCGCGTTTTCTGTCGGCTAGACGGTCTACGTCGTTCAGAAAATGTCCAACTCCAGGGAATCGTCCGCCCGCTCCCAATAGCCTCCCTGGTAGATCCAGTCTTCTTGCTTGGTGTGAGGGTTGATCGTGTGCTTAAACCACCTGCAATGAATCGAATGTGAGTGATTGATAAGTGTTTGAATCATTCGCTATTTCAAGAATTTGTTCAGCGAATACCAAGCTCAGCACTCACCTTGGAAAAATCACCCCATCGTCTCCCTTTTTACTCTTCTTCCTGTTCTCGCGCTGTTTCTCCTCCAGTCGCGTCTTCTCCGCCGCCGCCCCATCCATGTCGCCCTGTTCGAGCTTTCGAATGTCGGGCCGCAGGCGGGAATCGGTCGGACAGAGGGTTCGCGGTTGTTTCATGTGATCCTCCAGCTGATTCAGCGACATGGCAAAGTTCGTAAACTGGTAGTACTCTGCCGTATTGCCCGGTCGAGCTTCCGCCTCCCACAGGCTAACCGAGTTCGGGATGTCGATTGAGTAGGTCGAATCACTCTTGGGAATGTCCCCTTCGGCCGGTTCCGGTGGATCATCCGGCTGCGAAAGTAAGTTTTTTAGAAATTTATCTGTTTGATGTACAAGAGAAAAAGTACCTCGGACATCGACAGGCTCTTGAAAGAACTCATCTTGAGACTGTTCAGCTTGGACAGCACCTTCCGTGGAGTAGTTCCCGGCGATTCATTGGGGCTCTTGCTTCGTTCATCTCCTCGCTTGAACTTGTAACTGTTCTCCTTGCAGTACTCCTCGTACGAAGCGTAATCGGTACACTTGATAAACTCCGTCCACTTACCGTACAGGAAATGTGTCTTGCGTTTGCTGCAATGGAGACCCATGGTTATTCACCCAAAAAAAAAAAAAACATTGCTTACTTCCGATCCGATATGTAACCCTCGACCCGGTGCAAATCCTTATTGCCCACGCCGGCCGTCTTGAAGTTGAGTGTCGCTTTCATGCCGTTCTTGTGGCTAATAAGTTCCATCACGCCGTACTGCTCAATCCATAGCTTCCCAACGATGATATTGTGCACGCAGCAGTTCACATTGCTCCACGAGTACGCTTCGCCCAGCTTCGGGAACTCGACGGTCACAACTCCCTTCGGCTGAATTTCCACACTCTTGCCCCAGAACTTTAGCTTCGGATGAATCGACCCGTGGAAGGAGAAACCCTCTGAATCGGCATGGAACGCCGAAATCGGTGGATGGTGTGATACCTGAAAAGGAGAACATCAAAATACCTTTGTGCGAAATGATGGTCCCTAAACGTACCTGTTCGCAGATGATTCGGAACTCGGGCCGCGTGAGTTCATACGTTTCGCCCAGCAGTGGATTGAATGGTTTTCCGAGCCGTTCCCAGTTGGATGCCAGCGCAGACACGGCGAAAGCCGACACGTACTTCAGTCGTTCGATTGGATCCGACTGTTCCGATGCTATCCGCAGCAGTTTGGCATACTCCATGTACTCGGTCATTCGCTGCAGAAAGCTGGAAACAAGGAAGGGAGTCATAAACAATTATTTTCTCGGCATGTTCGATAATTGAATCTTGTTGATGAATATTGCAGAGCAAGAGGGCAATCGCTATCGATAGCAGCACGAATTGGCAGCATTACATATTGGATTGTGCTTTACAAGTTATCGCTGGTAGTCAATGCACAGTGATTCGGGGTGGGAATTTAGCAAGACAAAAGTCCTAGTGCTTTTGTTTTAAGTTTTAGATGTTTGGTGTTTTCAGTGAACTTTTTTAAAAAGCCTAAAAAGCTTCTTATTTTGGCCGTTTTTTAAACTGATTGATATTGAAAAACTAACTTTCTGATTTTGACCTAACGGAACCTTTTAAGCAAAAAAAGTTTACTGAAGACACCAAACGTCTAGAACTTAAGGCGAAAGCACTACACTGAGAAAACTAGAATTAAGATTTTTATAATATGTTTCGTATGAACGAGCATTTTGAACTCTGAAAATCATGTGAAAATCATGATAATGCGAATTCCATAAGGAATATGTACATACATAAAAAAGACAAAACGCTCATTTCGGTCAGCTTTTAATTCTGTTGTTCAGTGAAAAATTAGCATTTGGCGTCAGATTTGACAACCGAAATTGACAATCGTCACTGACAGCCAATGCCAATGAAGCTTTGAAGGACTGAACCAAAACTATTCGCAGAAGGCTGTGCCCTCATAACAACGCGAAAAGCATCACAAAACATCAATAAAACAAATGAAAGTTCGGATTAAAAAATCGAAGATAAATAAAGTTTGTGTGTGGATTTGTAGCGTTACATCCCCGATGCATCATTTAGATTTAAAATATGTTATGTACAAAGTGATGAAGTCGATAATCGAGCTGACAATCCAGTCACCGTTCAACCCAATTATGCCTAAAATATACCGAATATTCATCCTGCATTCTAGCCTGCAATCTAGTTAAATTAGGCAAGTTTTTATAGCGATCCTTGAGCGATCCAGCTATAATCAACACGTTCGAAGCCGTCAACCAAGCCATCTAGCGGGTCAGCGGAAAACATTTAATTTTGTCCTTAAACGGACAATAAACGATAATTCAGTGCCAACATTTCAAAGGGGCGTAATTGCATTTGTAAACAATGACTTTCGTCGTTGATTTCTCGCGAATGAAAGCTCACTCATGGAATTGAATAACACCAGCTGGTAGATGAATGTTTCCTGTCTCAGCTAGCATTGGTAATTTGGAGGGGTGGGCTTTTATTTGCGAAAAATCGACGACTAAAGCCATTGTTTACAAAAGCAATTACGCCCCTTTGAAATGTTGGCACTGAATTGTTACTCTCAAATATATTTCATGATAAAATGCTTGATATTCTGGACCAACAGAGTTCTTTGATATCCGCAGAACCTCACATGAAAGGTCAGAAATGAGGTTTAAGATTCAGATATAATTGATCCGGTTGTGATTACCTATTAGTGTCAAATATGCTCAAAAGAATTTATTTAGACTAGATCTGAATTTTATAAAAGTTCGGAGTCTACAATTCATTTAATAATATGTTTTTGTATCAGTGTTTGGAATGTATGACAGCTGTGGTTGTGTCTTCTTCTTGTTTCTGAAAAATCAATGAATGCTAAGATTTCTGTGAACTGGCAATAGTGACTTTAGTGACTAAAATTACGAAAAAAGTGACCAAATAGTGACCTTTAAACAATTAAAAACTGACCAATAGTGACATTTATTGATCGAAAAGATATTGTTTCGTTATTCTGGTATTTTTCATGCTTTTTTAAAATAAAACAAATGATTAAAGGATCACATAAATTTGTTTAAAAAAAATGTGAATTGAGTAAGCGAGAGCTCGGTCCAATTCTAGCCTCCATTTCCTCACTCTGCAGATCACGAATTTGTTATTAGATCGCGAAATTGAGGCACAGAGAAAATGTTCAAAGTACCGATTTTAGACAAAGTACCGATTTTTACAATTTTAGGACAGCATTTTTTGAAGATCTAGGATATATATGAAGCGATGCATTTAACAACATGAAGAACTGCAGTCTAGAATTAAATGTATATAGATCTAAGTTAGCCATGAGTATATTAATAAAAGATCCTTATCTTCTTTGTAGCCGCTATAACGAACCGGTCGTCTTTTTACTTTGCTCCATTCCTCCCAAGATTAGAATCTTCTGTAATACCTCAAACATAGAAAAAGAATCATAACTCTGGGATCTAGACAACTTTTCTAGATCGCAGTTTAAGAAAAAAAAATCTCATTATTATGGCCCAGATGGAATGATCACGGCAAAGGGTAGGTTATTCCGCACACCAACTTTGGGTCATCTTTATTGTCAGTGTGCCGCAAGTATGCTGATTGTGCCGGTCATAGAGCAAACTACGATTGTTTGTAAAATATCCATCCCGGCAATCCGGTATTTCTGACACCTTGAATGTTTTGGTTTGAAATCGCAAGGATAAATCGGATTGAGGATGACGCGGGAAGTGGCGAATGTGCAAAATTTCGGTGTTTTATGATCCATTGGGTAATAAAAGTCCAGTGTTTTATAATACCCTCAAAGGCAGACCAGAAACCTAGCCTTTCGGCTGGAAAGAGTTGGAACCGGTGGGGAGTATTGTTGGAGACCGACTATAGAGGGTAATGAATAGACTTCTTTAGTTTGTTTTATGTGAGTTGCAGCATTATTTGAATTAAGGGTATTAATGAGGTCTGATTAACTGCCTCTTCCTCTTGAGTTCACTCTAGAACCTACATTCCGTATTTAGATCTATAAGTGAACTGTTGGTCTGAGTTCAATTAGAAGATGTTCCTGAACATACAGTCAAATAGCACGTAATGTTCTGAACAACTTCAATGACAGTTGTCCAGCAGTGCTCCCATTTTATTTACAACAATCTAATGCCTACGAGATTGTGCCGAAGGTATGCCGAAAATGTGCCGATGGATGTGCCCAAGCTGTGTAGAATATAATTCCGGCACAATGTGCTGAGTGACTTACCCCTTGGATCACGGACATAAAACAAATTAGGAATAAATTTTAGAGTTCTTTAAATTTTTATTCTAAGACCTGGACCTGGAATTTGTGTTTTTGTATTACCGGAATATTAGTATGGAAAAAATACAATACAATTTCATGGACCTAAAAAGGAACAATTTAATGGACCTTAAAAGGAAAGGAGCGGCCAATCTACTGGATCCCCAGTGAACACTGGCAGCTCCTTGGTAACTACTTGTCTAGCTGCTAACTGCTGTTGAAATGGGCCGAAATTTCCGAATGCGTTATTTGATACAAAATCCCGATTTGGAACCAACTGCGGGTGAATTTGTGGAACCCCTGACACCCCGAATTTCTCCCGTTGTCTACTAGGTGAAATTTCATTTTCCAAAAGTGAGGGAGGGGGTGGATAAGGAGGACTAGGATGCTGGTTGTTCCCTGACAAGCTATATACACGAGAGTTTTCGGTTCTAATATTTGAGAGCCCTACTGGCGATGGAATGCACTCACTTACCAACGGTTGCCCTTCGTCGCGTACCAAGTTGACTTCTTGTTGCACTTCCTGAACTTCGTCGCGAAGCACCCAGTAGTCCTTTTCCGCTTGCCTCCGGAATCGCATCGCTTCATATTCTCGTTGCAGTTTTGTGAGAAAGTGAGAGACCTGGTGGACGGTACTACGATTCCCACAAAACGGGAGATGTTGCGACTCGTTATGAGTATTTTTGACCCTTTAGGATTGGTGGCATCATTTGTAATCCACGGAAAAATCCTAATTCAAGAGGTATGGCGGACGGACACAAATTGGGACGACAGGATTCCAATGGAGATCGCCATATAGATTGGATCGCCTGGATAGATTGGATAGCGGTACTCAAGAAGATTGAAGGACTGCGTATTCCTCGTTGCTATTTTCCGAACTACAATCCAGACAGCTTCAAATCTCTTGAACTTCACGTGTTTGTGGACGCTAGCGAACAGGCCTTTGCAGCGGTTGGATACTTCCGTATAATAGACAACGGTCAGATCAGAGTCGCTTTAGTGTCGTCGAAGACGAAAGTGGCACCACTTCGAGGACTTTCGATACCACGTCTGGAATTGATGGCAGCTTTACTGGCAGCTCGCTTGCGGAGGACTATTGAGTATAATAATTCGTTGAATATACAGAAAACTTGCTTTTGGAGTGACTCGTCAACCGTCTGTTCGTGGATCAAATCGGATGTTCGACGATATCGCCAGTTCGTTGCCTTCCGGGTCAACGAAATACTGGACCTGGCGAGCGTTGACGAATGGCAGTGGATTTCAACTAAGGTGAATGTGGCTGACGAGGCCACCAAGTGGGGAAAAGGTCCCGCTTGCAATGTTGACAGTCGCTGGTTTCAGGGACCTGACATCCTATACAACGTTGAAACAGAATGGACGAAGGTTCCAGAAGAAGGCACAGATGAAAGTGACAAGGAATTGCGGGAGGCGTTCGTGTGCAGTCATCTACTCAGACAACCGGTGATAGATCCTAATAGATTTTCGAAGTTCGAACGACTGTTGCGCTCTACAGCATATGTTCACCATTTCGTTGATAGTCTGCATCTAGCCAAAAGTAGATCAACAGATACTGTTGGGATTAGCAGTGTGGATTTGCAGAAGGCAGAAAGAACGTTGTGGTCAAGTGCGCAATCTGAGGCATTTCCGGACGAAGTAACGATCTCTAAGAAGAATCGAGAAGGAAGTAATACACTTGGAATGCAATTAGGAACATCAAGCCATCTTGTGAAGCTGTGTCCATTCGCTGACGAGTACGGAGTGTTACGAGTAGACAGTCAGCGCAGGTTCTATCTTACGATACGAAGTTTCCCATCATCCTACCTAGAAACCATCGCATTACGGCGTTGTTATTGGATTACTATCACCGGAAATATGGTCACGCAAATGACGAAACCATAGTCAACGAGCTGCGTCAGAAGTTTTATGTGCCTCGGCTGCGAGTGGAGATACGATTAGCCAGGAAACGCTGTATGTGGTGCCGCATACACAAAGCGATACCCGTTACACCGAAAATGGGGCCACTACCAGCGGTACGATTGGAACCCTTTGTACGTCCCTTCACCTATGTGGGCGTAGATCTCTTCGGCCCATATTTGGTAAAAGTTGGAAGAAGCGCGGTGAAACGATGGGTCTGCCTGTTTACCTGCCTAACTATTAGGGCCATTCACCTGGAGGTAGTTGCCAGTCTGTCTACCGATGCGTGCAAGAAGGCAATAAGGAGATTCATAGCACGACGGGGCTCCCCTCTGATAATTTACTCCGACAATGGTTCGAATTTTGTGGGAGCAAGCAGGGAGCTCATGGATGAAATCAACAAGATTAATACTGAACTGGGCAGCACTTTTACGAACGCCCACACACAGTGGAGATTCAACCCTCCAGCTGCTCCTCACATGGGGGGCTGTTGGGAAAGAATGGTTCACGCCGTTAAATCAGCATTAGGATCGGTTCCGGTAGTGCGCAAGCTGGATGACGAGTCTTTCGCTACGGTACCATTGGCAGAAGCCGAAAGTATGGTCAATTCCAGACCACTTACATTCGTTCCTCTAGAAACTGCCGACCATGAAACTGCCGACTCCCAATCATTTTTTGCTCCTGAGCTCAAATGGTGTGCGAGAACCGGAGAAGTTCCCGACGGATGCAGGAATGGCGTTGAGGAATAGTTGGAACATGGTGAAGCACACTTTGGACAACTTTTGGCGCCGGTGGGTGATAGAATACCTACCAACCATCATTCGACGGACAAAGTGGTTTCGGGACGTACAACCGATCAAGGAAGGAGATCTTGTGCTCGTGGCTGACGAGAACGTTAGGAATCGGTGGTTACGAGGACGAGTAATTCGAACGATTCCGGGAAAGGATGGAGTGACTCGTCGAGCGGAAGTGCAGACATCAGGAGGGACATTAAAGAGACCTGCTACAAAATTGGCTGTGCTGGACGTGACAAATTCTGGTGACGCCCAACCGGAAGTTATGGTGACACGGGGGAGAGAATGTTCGCCGCAACAGCCCCTCGTACTGAATACCGCAAACGGTACCTAACACTCGACTCACTACACCCAGCGGTTGATCCGGGAAGCGCGAACCGTCAAACGGAATGATGGGAGAAACTGGGATGAAAAATAACAATAGCTTATCACTTTTCAACAATCAGCACTATAACAGTATTTTGCTATTACTAAAATATATTACTTACTAGTTGAACTTGCAGGCTAGGAATTAAAACTAACAAAGAACTTTGTTGTAAAATATATGAGATAAATGGTAAGCTGATTACCACCCAACCGTGGGTTAGTAATTACTGCTGAAAGAACTCCCATTCTATCGCAACATTTTTTTTACATTGAACATTCAGGTAACCTCTTTAAAATAGGAATTCAATAAGGTTCACTTGCCGCACATAAAATGCAATGACATGGTAATGAATTCCACTGGATTCACTGGACCAGTCGATACGTCATGCTGGTGAAGGTTAAGTGAAATTCAAGTAAGCTTTTCGTGATTTCATGGTATGAACAATTCTAGATAGAGCTGGAATAAGGGCGTAACAGCTTTTATTAACAATGACTTCTCTCGATGATTTCTAGAAATTCAAGGCACGCCCACGCAAACCAACATTACCGACGGGTAGGGGAAGTCTTACCCTACCTGATGGTGATGTTGATTAGTGTGGGCGAGTCTTGACTTTCAAGACATCATCGAAAGAAGTCAATGTTTACAAAAACTGTTACGCCCTAATTCCAGCTCTATCTTGAATTGCTTGTCGTATTCGTAATTCAAAAATGGCGATAGAAGAAAGTGCGCTTTCGTCGTTGTTGAACGAGATGGAATTACCAGGATTCTTCATGTTTTCTAGCGTAAGTTTTATAATTTTTATAAATTAAAACTCATTTATAAATTAAAAATGCTAAAGGCCGGCGCACAATAGATACGTTTTCGGGTTTTTTGACAGATAATGCATGGGCTAACTGTCAAAAAACCTGAAAACGTATCTATTGTGCGCCGGCCTTAAGAATCAACAATTGACGAACTATAAGGGTGCTACCACAGAACAGAAGGGGAAGTGCAAACAAATCGGTGAATCAAAATGTGCTTCGTTTTTCTACTCAACAAGCGATGTATTTTGGTAGCGTTCCACACGGGCTTTCTATGTGTACGCACACTATCATAGGATGCTGCAGGCAGAAGATGCAAAGACAAGTAAATGACAAGTGGAGCCACTTTCTGATCCGAAGTTCCACTCCTGTGGTGCTACTATAAGGTTAATGTACTTCAACTTCGAGATCATGTAAATTAGTATTTTTTTCCTAGAATGCAATCATTTGATGACTCAAATAAATTGAAATATATGTCTTTAGTCTATCACCAATTCACTTTATCATTACTTCAAAATCCAGTAACATTTACTTGCTAATTCCCGTAAGTTTTAAGTGATGCCAACATCGGAAAGTCCGATAAAATTTTCGTGAAAATCAATTGATTTCTATGTGAATCACTCAAATGTAATCTCTCCCCCAATACACGTATTATTCACCTGAAAAGTTCGATGGAAAATATCTACGTTTCTTTTCAGGTGAATTTTACGTTACTTTTTTTGCAGCGTAGGCATTGAAATCTTTCAAGATCTCAATGTAAAATTTCCAGAATATTGGGTGTAGAACTTTTTTTCCAAATTTCTGAAAATTTTATGATAGAGCTATGCCAATCACAAGATAAAAAAAAAATCAAAATATTAAATTCCGTCAACAGTTAACGTTTCCATATGTTCGCAACTCTTCTTATCAGACTTTACTCTAAGTTTTTAAAGTAAAATTCTTTACTCTCAACATTGGTCGTAAAAAAGTGACTTTAGTGACTAAATTTTAAGGAATAGTGACTATAGTGACTTTTTGATGAAAAAAGTAACTTTTTAGTGACTGACTTGACAATAGTGACCAAATAACTAAAAAGCGACCTGCTACCAGCCCTGTAGCTAATGAAAAAGAGTAAATTCATAAGAAACTCGATACTCACCTCAGCGGCTCGTTGAAGACGACTGGCATGGTGATTTTGCTTAGCTCCTTACCGATGCAATTTTTCAGCACAGACCAGATGTTGAAGTCACTGCGAGAAAACATAGGAACCGGCAGGGAAGTTCTGTTGTTGTTGTTTTTGTTGTTGTCGTCGTCGTAGCCATGGGCGATTACGGTGAAACAATAGAAGAAGAGTAGACGTTTGAGAAATTAGATTAATACGCGTTGGATTTGAGGAGGAGGAGACGGTTTTTGTTTTAATGTTTGGGTAGCATTTCCGACAGCGAATTTCCAAGATAAATAATTAGTTTGTTTTAGTGCCCGCGCACGTGCCGCAAGCGAACAATGAGACTGGGTGAGTGGGGTTAGTGAGTGAGTGAGTGGGTGGGTGGTTTTCGGGTGGTGATAAAAGGTACCAGAATGGTTGGTGGTCGTTTGATGTGAAAATTAAAGTGCGAGTGCAAACAACGTTGAGGTTAGGTATGTAAGTGAGCAACAGTGCGTTGGAAAAGTGATTTTGCTGTGGACCTTTGCGAAAGAAAGATGAAAACAAACAGAGAGTTGCTTTTTTTTTGTGTCAATAAAATTAGGAAGGTACATAACAGTTGGGATGAAAAGAATCATGGCTGGTGATGCCATCTTTGATTTTCGGTCTTCCGAAGGAGTGGGTGCTTCGTGATTAGGTTCCAAAGAAAATAATGTAGGTTTTGATTTGGCTCGGATATTCTGTGCGAGTGTGGGCTCAGTTCTTTCATCCAAGTAAGTGGAAATTTTCCGTTCTCTTGCATCAACGATTCAACGAGCAAATCACAGTCAATTCTTCGTTATCCTGTACTAGTGCTCCGACTCGATGGAAATTTCCGCTTGCCTTTTTGATTTGATTTCCAAATTCGATGCTCCCTTCAATATCGAGTAAGGGAGAATTGACTGTAATGGCGAACATGAGGAGAACAGAAAAACCGCCTGCGAAAAGGTCGAGGGTAATTGAAACGAAAATTAGGTTTCACTTCAAAGGTATAACTTTATTGGAGCTAAAAATTAAAGCGGTAAGCCGACAGGATGCTTTCCAGCCGCACACTATACAAACAAGTTATAAAACGATCAAGCCACAACGTTTTCGATTTTCAGAAGCTATCACCAAATAATTACACAAGTCATTGCGAACATTCACACGTCAATCACTGTCCAATACATGCGACACGGATTAATTGAGTTTTTTTTTTGGGAATCGTTAAAGCTGATTATCGATAAAACGCCAACTAAAAAAAGACCTCTGCTGTAGGTTGGTTCACACGGTGACAAATGTCGTTCATTCAGTCAAATGGAGAGGAAAACACCATGAATAATACATATATTTCTCAACAAGTCATTGAAACGGTTTTCATATATATCCGTCGTCTGTCGCTGTACGTACCGATAGTTGTTGTGGGAGGAGCGGGTACACTACATATACCTATGATATGCAGCATGATGGTACCGACCTTGCCGGTGTTTGCGAATCGGAGAACGGGGGTTGATTTAGGACCGTGTGATTCCAAATGAGCGTAAATATCCAATCCGCAATTCCCTGGTGTGGGAAACGTTGTGATCGGGAAAAAAGTCATCTATATTTAATTTCGGAAAATCTTTTTCTACCATCTGATGCTTGGATGGTCACTCCATGGGTATGTGAATTCCACGGCAGAGACGAAGTTAAATATTCATTCATTCAAATGGCCGCTACGTCTCTATTACAGAGTTTATTTAAGTACATTCTTGTAGCGTACAATCCAGCAAAATTAGTTTTATCAGCAAGGCTGCAAATGCTCCTTTCACATAAAACATGGTTCAAGTTTGCTTTCTAAGAGTCACGATCAGTGATTTTATGATCGCTTAGTGAGTGAGTGAACATTGCTAAAATAGCTGATTGTGACTCTCAGGAAGGGAAATTGGCAGGTTGTCAAACACATATTTTGCAACCTTTTCTCTTATCTTACAAATGAAAAATTGGATCATAGATTTCATAATCCCGCAAAACATTTATTTTTTCTGAAATGAGTATTTGCAACCTTGTTTCTCAGTATAGAATTAGGTCTGTTCGCATACTTGCTCTTTAGCTTATGCTGTAAGTTGCCGCAACTTTTTGTCATTTGCTGTATGGGAATAATATGGTGCAGAAAGTGCGGGAAAAACCGAACATTTCCTTGTGTATTTCTGTAACAGCAATGCCATGTAGATCAGACGAGAGCAATCATTCTGGAGTAAATTTATAACTCCTCGGGATGTCGTTGTAGCCGTTTGATGTCTTCGGCAAAGTTGCTCAGTTAATTGTGTGAATGAAAAACATATTTTAAACCTGCTCTGTTTTGTATCTTGTGGACGAATCATTTTAGATAGTGACTTTTTTCGACAAGATCGCAGAGCATTTGAATGTCGAGTTTTAGTTGATTCTGTAAAATTAGATCATAAAATATAGCTATCCAGCATTTTACGAGCGCTTATGGCCGCCACAATCTGGCTGAGTTTTTGGTAGGGAACATATGATTTGACGTTTGGGTTGTGTCCTTTGACTTGGATCGTAAAATGCTGGATACATAGTGGTCTAGTAACAGGAAATACAGTTTATTTTAATACAACGGCCCTAGTAGTTGGTTCTGGAATGTTTTGATAGTAGTTTGTGTCTCAGATGGCCTAGTCGCTAAAAGCTAGGCATTACCAAGCCGCAGACAGCGGGTTCGATTCCCAGTCCGGTAGAGGAAATCTTTTGAGCATTTTCTCGACCTCCCTGGGCATAAGAGTGTAATTGTGCTTGCCACACAATATACTACCCAGACAACCAGAAGTCGTATAACAATGTACAGACAGTATCGTAAATTGCTACAGTTTAAGTCAAAATCGCATATTAGAATGGCATACCTCGCATTATGTTTAAGTTAAATCGTATAGAATGCAAATTTCCGACTTATATGCGATGACTCATTTTTCCGTCGTACTGTATCACAAATTTAATCGGATTACATCGTAAGACTTTTCAAAATGGATTTGTTATTACAGATCAAATTGCATATGATGTTAAATCAACTCGTTTAAAATTAAACGAAAATATGCACGTATATGGCCTCCACTTTTGTACGTATAAGCCATTTCTTTGCATTCTATACGACTTGTTTGTTTGTATATATGTTTGTATATCACGAAAACAACTTTGAATATACGTGCATTCTGGTTGTCTGGGTAATCCATGCATTGGTTGGCTTAGAAAGCTCTCCATTAATAATTGTGGAAGTGCATCTTGATCACTAAGTTGACAGCCGTTGACGTTCGCAAAAAAAGCGTAAAAAGCCTAAAAGAAGAAAAAATTGTGTTGAAACGTTGAAAGTGCTTTTAGTGCTCGACGAGATCGAAAAATTTCTGTGTGTGTGACAAAATTAGAGAGGCGTGTTTATCGGGAACCACTCAATCAAATTGGACTCAAATGAAAGGTATCATGGTCCCATAGAAGCTTTTTTGGAATTGGTCCACTGGTTCCGGAGTATTACAGTCTTGAAAAATCACTGTCTGGAAGCTAAAAAAATCTTTTAGTCTGAGTATATCCAAAATGACAAAAATGTGTCAATACTATTTGCCAAAACAAGCATAACTTTTCAAACGGACATATCTTAAAACAGCAAAAGGGTTTATCTTCCATTTAATTCCACTTAATTAATTTTTGTATCCATGACAGATACGTATTTCGACTACAATGTGCAGCCTTCATCAGTGTCATTCCCACTAAAGAACTTATCAAAATCTAACCCCCTTAAGTACTCATCCCCTAGGTAAAAAAGTCAAGATCATAGGTATAAAAATGAAACTACAATGTGTTGAATCGGAACCTACCTAACTAATAAAAACCAAAGATTTAAGTAAGCTAAAGGAGAAAAATCTATACAAATCTCTAATAAGGAAATATCTTGCATTTTATAGAAAATGAGAAAAATGGGTTAGCAACATCCATATGCATTAGAGTGATGCAAAATTTGAAATTTTCGCTCCACAATACTTAAACGATTCCAAACCGGATCCTGACTAACCTCTCAAAATTTGAACCCATTTGGTGAGAAACTGAGATGGCACAAACCATTTGAAGTTTGTATGGAAATTACTATGGTAAAACCAAGATTTTTGTTCATGTCTATCTAATAATTCACCATATCGGTCTACTTCAAAAACTTGCCACTGTGCTTGTTGGAAATTTTACCAGCTACAACTTTGCTGGAGACCATTTTTTGATTAAATGCAAGGATCGAAAGTTATCAATGGTTCAATGCGCTGATGTCTTATGATCATGCTCAATTAACTGATCAGCAGGCAACATTGGTGTTTCTGGGGCGTTGAATAGGACACCAAAATCATGGCTACTATGTCACACTGCAAAATACAGTGTTGCCTACAGAGCAGCTGCTTGATCATGTCATAAGTTTATCAATCTCTTAAATAATTAATAACTTTTTCCTGTCTCGTTTTACATAGAAATGATCTTCAGCAAATCTATAAGATTGGCTATCGAACTGTTTCGCAGCTCAATATGGAAAAAGACTAGAAGGCAATGAACAAAAAGTTGAGATTTCCCATAGTAATTTACAAGTAAACTTCAAAGGGCTTGTGCGAAGTCTGTTTCTTACCAAATGAGTTGTAACTTTGGGAGGCTAATCAGGACCCGATTTGAAACCATTTAAGCACTGTGGAGCGAAAAAGTCAAATTTTGCATCAGTCTAATATGCATTCGATCTGTTTCTTCCAGTGGCAGTGATGGATCGCTCTTTTGTGGCTTTTTCATTACTTTTCATTATAGAATTCTAACGTAAAGTCCAGTTGAATTTTCAGTTAACGTATTGTTCGGTATTATCGTTTACACCGTTTGCACCATTTGCGCACCCCCAGCGCAAGAAAACTTTCAGCTGTCAAGAGAAATCCATCACCCGGCTGGCGGAAGCGAGCAGCCACCATTTTTCTTCATTCTCTACTCAACCATCAAAACAAGAACACACGAGTTGTGAACCTAAAAATAGAGAAAGTTATATTATAATAAAGTCCGTTTTTTTTTTTGGTATTTGCGAGATACTTTATTTCATCCCGCGACAATTTCAACCTCGCCTACAATTT